AAAATCGTACTATTTATATTAACTTATTGAGAATAGAATAATTTAAGTTATTCGTCGTCTAATCTCGTATGTACCTATGTGTTTAAAGATAATGTCGGATTACTGTAAGGATATGTAGCTCCAAATGAAATAACATTCAATGTTTTTATCATTTTATTGTGCTATATCGCGTCATTGTTGAAGTTTGCTTGCCAAAGCTTCACAAGCGATTCAATTTAAGTTCAGCTCCAGTTCTTAATTCCTTTATCCTCTTCCACATGCACCATTGTATTACTTAATAAGCAATATAACTCGCTCCTATCCTTGGATTCTACAGCATAATTACAAAATCTACCAATTTGTGGGATAAGTTCAGTAGATTACGAATATGGAAACACAATTTTTTTTTCTATTTAATGCTGTAATTTATGCACGACGTACCAGGTTTTTTAACTAGAAACAACTAGTTACATTATTATATCGACTCTTATAGTGAAGTACCAGGACCTCATGAAATGAAAACCGTGAAATCGTTGTTTCTTTTTCACAACAAGACAAGAATCATACGTAACTGTATTGTTAATATGATGACGCATTTGAAAATATATTCATTGTCATGAACATTAATTAGGTGATCGGTAAGCAGTTTCATATGTTGATACAAAATTAACTCAATGTATAATAAGTACGTCACATGTATTTGTGAGTTAAAGTGTTAAATATACTTTCTTTCAGGTTGGTTTAGTACTATAGAATCACCTGTATAAACATGAATTGTCATTCCTTTCATTCTACTTGAGAAATAAGACAAGTAAAAAAAAACGTACATTTGTAAGAAATTTTCATGAGCACATTTTTAGCACAAATACAGACGTGAAAATATTAGTACGCCTCAATGTACTTTAAACTTCTACGTTATTTTATTACTTTTATTAATTTAGTTACCTTAACATTCTTTATGCCTTTTTTTCGCATTGAACAACGCAATCTTCACATGTGATGGGACATCGCGATAAGTTGCGCCTTATATTTCAACTTATATAAGTCTTGCTTAAATGTGCCTTCTTTTTTCGACTTTACAACCAAAAATAAATGAGAAAGGAATTTTTAAAACGTCTCGTTGCATAAATACATTTTATTTATATGCGTAAATTATTGCCCCAAATTTTTTTAAAATTAAATTTTAAACTGTTGTATCTCTAGATTTCAATAAAAAATGCTTGAATTGTTATTTGAAGTTAAGTTTTAAGTACAGATATCGAGAACCAAGATTTATTAAGAAAGTTTGAACAAAATCCAATGTTTCGAAGAACATTATTAAGAATGAACTAGTAAGAAAATCTAATATCGAGGTAAAGTTATACTAAATCCCATGTCGAAATAAAGATACACTGGGATTTTTCGTTCGTAATATTTGTACCAAAATTACACAACAAATCTCTTTACACCTTTAACCCATGTTTTCTTTTTATTTTATATCTTCTTTGTATTTTATTAAAATACCTTCTGATCTAGAGCTACTAATTTTAAAACAAGCTGAACTAATTTAAACGAATATCTGGACAAATTGATATTTTTAAGGTTCCGTACCTCATAGGAAAAAAACGGAACCCTTATAGGATCACTTTGTCGTCCGGTCCGTCCGTCTGTCAAGACCCTTTTTTATAGTTTAAGCCCGCATTCGCACGGGCGTTTTTTTTACGCTGCGTTTAAACTCAGCGTTAAGCGCCGAACTCTTTAAAATCACTCTTGTTTACATGATCCAGCGTTCAAAATGCAATACTGTGCGATAAAAAGCGTCGCGTTTTTAAAGCGCTGCCGTATGAACAGATACATGGAAAATTTGTTTTATTTAATGCGTTTTAACGCCTCATAAAAAAGCGCATGTGCGTATGCGGACTTAATGCCGTAACACTGACAATAATTTGAGAAGTTTTAACAAAATTTATAATTAATTTTGAAACGAAATTTTAAAAAACCTTATTTACTTTATTTGCGAAGGAAAAATACAATGGAAATAAAATTTATATGCGGTGTTTTTTGTATCACGTATTCTTGTCTTGATCTGCGCAATTACTTTTTGATTAATCGTAACCTTCGCTTTGAAGATTTATTTCGTCGTATTTCGGTGTTATTTAAAATTGTGTAAAAGTACTAAATTAAAAGCCAATTATGCGATTTTTACTCCTTTAATGACTATTTTTTCTATAATCGCGAGGAAAAAGATGTAGAAATTTTGTCTCGCTTAAGATTTTACAAAATTAAATTTTGTAGTAATCAAAATCGAGAAGTATTAATTCATATCTTATACACATATAAAATTCTCGTGTCACAATTTTCGTTCCCAGACTCCTCCAAAACAGCTTGACCGATTCTCATGAAATTTTGTGAGCATATTGAGTAGGTCTGAGAATCGGCCAACATCTATCTTTAATCCCGCGCGGACGGAGTCGCGGTCGACAGCTACTTATTATATATATTAATACATGTTAATTTAAGTGATTAAACGGGGATTTCGGTCTGAGAACCACATTTTCAATGATAACTTTGCAACTGTGTGTAGTCTTAAAAACTGAATTTCATCGAATTTTCAATATTTTATTTCCCTCCGAAAAGATGCGAGCACATATATCAAGTTGGGGAAAATAACCTAATTTCTTCTTCCGAACGAAACGAGAAAGATAATTGAAACAAACGATCCGAAATTTGATTTAGGCGTTGTAAAAGGGAATAGAGTCGCCCTGCCCTAACTGTCATGTCAATAACTGACATTCCTACAATCGATTTTATTATTCGTACCTCTGTCGATTTAAATATTGAAGCTTAAACAATTTGCATAGAGTTGAAAATTGCTGGGATTATTCTGGACAACATTGTCTTCAAACCTTGAAAATTCCCTATCGATCCCGCATTTAAAAAAAATGTCTACTAAACATAATCACATACAAAAATGTTCAATAAAAATATTTAAAAAGCTCTATTTTATAGAAGATGTAAAATTATTTTACGTTGTGTTACAGCATTTTATTTTCTTTTTTATGGCGATTTATTTACAACATTAGACGCTCATTTTCCTTGGGAAAATTTGCGGAGAAGTATCTAACACGCTTCCGAGATGAAAATAAGCTTCCCTTTTCAAGTTCAAGATGTTGAGAGCGAAATTTTCTTAATTCCCTTTTTCATAAAATAGTAAATTTATTAAGGTTTAAAAGGATTGGTGGTTTCAAAAGGTTTCCGTAATGAATATTGATGGAAGTATAGCAGAAATACTTTGTTTTAATAAAAATAATAACCTTAAAGTTCTTTTATTGTTTCGAAGAGTTAGGAAACAAAATTAATTTCTATGTTGGCAGGAAGTTTAAAGATTCGGAACAACTAAATGAGTTGCATGTATGCACGTTAAAGACGGAACAGAGTGGTCTTTGTTCTGTCCTGCGTGGCCAAAGCATTAATAATATTAAGAGTTGAAAGTAATATTGCACGTGAAATAAATAAATTTGATATGATCTATAATATATATATTTAAAACTATTTATAACTTTCATAAACACAAGCCAGACTAACATTGTGATAATAAAAAATAACGAGTCCCAGTATTGCGGCGTGTCTAGACTTGAAAATAAATTGTCCACGGAACTAAAAAAATTGCATGTTTTTTCCATACAGAATAAAACTATTTTGTTCCAAAAATTTTAAGTTGCTTTTACAGATGTTTTGTTACTAATGAATTAATTTCATCAAAATAAATGCTAAATTGTTTGAATTATTCAAATATTACGTTGAATAAACGTTTTTTTTAAATAACAAGATGTATTCAAGTAAGCGTGGTTGCTAAAATCAACATTGCTAACAATGCCAGCCCAAGGGAATTTAAATAAAGACGAACAGCCGATGAATTTATATCAACCATCTTGAATTTGGCTATTGGTGAACGGCGTTCTTTATTTATTACATTAATTATTTACTAGCTGTCGCCCGCGACACCATACGCGCAGAATTGAACAAAACTGCTAGCCTATGTGTTCTTTCACACTATGTTCTAAATTTACGTCATATTTCATCAAGATCCATTGAGCCATTCTGGAAATACCTTCTAATAAACATCCATACATCCATACATCCATCCGTCGAAACATTGGCCTTTATAAGATTATTAAGAATTAAGATGTAAATTTGGTTATATATTAATATTAGGTTTGTGAGTTAACTAATTTGTTAATATGTAGTTACTTAGTTAAAATGTTAAAGCCAACAAATAATCCATCGTTATTTTTTCGAAGCCGACGTCAAATATATTAGCCTAAATAAGCTAAGAAAAATGTGACTTAAGCGCCGAGGCTTTGTCTTAGTAGAGTGAAATTGTTGTTCGTTATGTGAAAAATGTACTCTTGAGTTTGACGATCTGTTTTGAAGATGCCAACTCTTTTGTATGTAGACATTGGCCTGAATGATAGCTATTGTCTACAGAGGTATATAATTAAGACTATATGACGTCGCTCTACTTACAAATGAACTTATGTACATGAGAAGCGGACAAAAGTCTTAAAATGGATGAAGAAAATTGTCCTGATATTTATATTTATCACCTACTTCTACAAATAGTGCAATGATCTCATAAAACCTAAGTATTTAATTAGGCTGAAAACGATTATGTTCATATTAACCAAAGCAATGTAATCTTACGTCTTACTAATGTTATAAATGCGAATGTTTAGATGGATGGATGGATGTTTGTTTGAAGGTATCTCCAGAACGACTGCACGGATCTTGCTGAAATTTGCCATAGGTCTAGAACATAGTCTGGAAGAACACATAGGTTACTAATTTAGTCTATTTTTAATTCTGCGCTGATGAATGGAGTCGCGTGCAACAGCTAGTCATATTATAGATAATGAAAGGTATCTATCGATCAAACGCTTAAAGTTGTTTTTAACGCTTATATAATTATTAAAGTTATATATTGTATAGTATATTTAAAAGTAAAATAATTGTATTTAATAAAATTATAAATATTAACATTATTAGGTTCCTTTAAAAAGAGGTAACAACGTCGCACTGTTAGCCCATTGTAACGTTGTGCTCCCAATAGCGCTAATAATTTTTCGATTTTTGTAAGGATTTGAGAAATGACTGTTGTTAGCGGAATCTTTTTTATATAGTTCCGATAAAAATATTCTGTTTTCACTCTCCAATTTCATGTCTAGAAGTTCATTTTCCTTTTCATAAGATACTGTCACCTTCTCAATGTTGGGCACGTTGTCCTCCGGGTGATAAGGATTCTTGAATTCGCTTTTTAATAAACCTCTGTAATTGTCTATTGCAAATTTTCTAAATACGTCGAAATTCATAAAATTCTGTACAAATTTATACACATCTTCAGAATCGATTTCTATTTTAATAGATGTTACGCAGGCGGAGTACAAAGTCAAAACAAACACTGAAAATAACAAAATAGCACTTTTGCAATCACTTAAAATTGCTATTATATTTTTAACATTTAAAGTTATCTAAAAATTAAAGTTTTAAAATAAAATAAGATTATTTATTATTTAACTCCAAACAGAACTAATTATTGGGAACCCAAACCTAGACGTGTATTATCGTCTAAGTTCCTCGTCACAGTCCCTTTAACCAAAGCATATAAATTTATTTTATACATTTTAAATTAAATTAACAAATATTGGATAACGATCAAAAATATAAATACTGAACTACGAAATGAATCGCGCAAGCGAATACAAACTACAACCAAAATCACTTGCGGCTCTTTTTTCCCTTAATCCTATTACTTTCTCAAACCAATATTTTACAAGTTTTTTATTTTATTTAACATTCTTTGGATCAGACGTGCTATAAAAATATAGCAACAGAAATAGATTCTGGGCAATAGAAACTTCCTAAAGAAATTTCTGAAAGGTGGTTTTGTGGCTGACCACTATAATCAATAATTGTCTAAAAATCCTTACCAATTAGTTTTGGTGAACACATTTTTCTATATTTTCAAATTCTATTACCGTGAAACAGGTAAATATTCTTTCAATTTTGAACGAAACATGGCTGTTTTTGTATAAAGATTCAGATAAGAACCGGCAAGTTTCACAATTTATTACTTGTGAAATTAAAGGCGCACAGCTGTTAAGTGTTTTTATTACTAACTGCTTTTGGTACAGGAAGAGAGTTTAGGTCTTGGCAGAAAATGTTTGAATATTTTTTTCCATTGATCTAAAATATAAGAAATATATTAAAACTAACAATAACATAACATCCATTGAAATAAATTTGGAAAGTTATGTGTGACATTTTTTCTACATTTCTAAGATTCTGCTTTTTATTCATTCATATTTTTTTACCGGTTTCCCGGTTCTATTCTATTTCACTAATTTGATCGGCATAAGTTTTTATAGGTCGTCTTCTACCACAACAATTTTACACAATATAAAATAACCAATCTTACTATGGGTTTCGGTTAATTTAATTTAAAGCTAACAACATAAAACCAATTCACCAACAACATATACGAGGAAACCGGTTGCCCTATAGGTCAATTAAATATGGGATATATCCACTTTTATTAGGTATTCCAAAATTAAATTTATAAGCCAATTTAGCTAGTACATTTGAATTTCGAAACCAGTAATTTATTTGTTTTTTTTCCTCAATAACTTTTTTTGGCGTTGCTAATTTCGCACATCGGAATACTTGAAATATCGCATTATTACCGAATACGAGTTCTGCCATAGCAGCAGTAGTGCAGAAATAGCTCAAATTAACTCTGTGTAGGGCGATGGTGCAGCAAACGAAAATACGTTTTTGGTTCCAAAGTTTTCGTTCAGGAAATTTCGACCTTTAGAATAAGCTCCGTGGACACCAAAGTTAATTATGAAGAATTAAAGGCGGAAGCAGATCCATCACAAATTACTTCAGAGTTAGTTTATGAATTGACTAACGCAAACCAACAAACATGCGTCGTAAAAGGAAATATTTTTAGCAGCGGTTGAACTCTGAAGGACCAGCAAAATCCTGCCCAAGCGAAAATATACAAGGAAAAAGTTACTTGTGAGTGTATAGTGGATTAGTGCTAGTGTTTGTCACTACGGTTTTCTAAATTTTGGTCAAACGATTACAGATGTTACATATTTTCATCAATTGCTATCCGTGATGGAAGAATTAGCTGCTAAACTAACGGGTTTGGGCAATTGCTCTAGGCTCTGCACTGGGGCTACCGCCCAGGGCGCTGGACAAAAATGGACGCCATAGGTCTACGAATTACACATTCTTTGTGTCTGCATTTATTGAGTACAGTCAGCTGCATAAAGACCGGAGCAAACAAAACATTCAAATATATAGGTACTCCTAAAGTAATCATTTATATAAGTACAACAAAAGTCCTCAAATTAATAGAAACATTCATTCAGCTCAAATACATCGGTACATACACAGCGTCAGATATATGAGTACATTAAGGTGTCCATAAATATAGTAGCTACCACAGAGTCATAAGTAACTAACCAGTCAAGGTATGCAAAAATATCGTAACATTTGACAAAATTGAACTCTATGTCTATATTCTTGTGGTACAATTTGGAATATACTACTTCTGTTAAATTCATTTCACACTTTGTATGAACATTATAGGTTGTCCGGAAATTTCGTTCCGATTTTCGTATGTTTAAAATATATATATAAATACCATCATTGCACTATCTGACATAACAAATTACTTGTGATTGTTGAGTTATGGTTGAAAAATAAACAAAACTAGCTGTTGCCCGCGCCTCCGTCTGAGCGGAATTAAAAAACTTAATTAGTAGTCTACCTGTTCTTCCAGGCTATGTTCTACATCTATGCCAAATACAAGCGAGATCCATGCAGGCGTTTTGGATACACAAACATCCATCCATCCAAACAATCGCATTTTAAATTGTAGTAAGATGTACTGATAGGTCTTATTACATGTAATAAAAAACAGGTTTTTCATTAACTTTATGTATCTTCTGATTAATATTCATTAGGAAATGTATAAAAAACAATCGTACTTGTAGTAAAGAGCGAGTGTACAGAAACTGTGTAAAACAAACCAGTGTAATGTAGATTTTGCAACAAAAATAAATAAATTGTAAATAAAACATACAAAAAAGGTAAGGTCCATGGATTATCGCCTTATAGTATATCAACGATATACTTTAAAGGAAAATTTTATAAAGGTATCTAACAATGTAACAAAATGGCACTAAAAATAGTCCCATAATCAGAAAGGGAAGCACAAATTTCTATGTGGTACGATTCTGTTATATCGCTTATTCTTTTTTTTATAATTACTGGTGAGTTTTATTTTAATATTCGAAATTGGAATTCTTTTTTTTGCAGAGAAAATGTTGAAGATAAAAATCTGTTTTGTGGTATTGACTAGTTTGTCTATATTACTAAGTGCTGCAGATTCTACGGAGACTGAAGATAAATCTAGGTTAGAATTAAAATTGAAGTAATAATTCTATATTAAAAGACTATACAATTAATTAGATATTTCAATACTAACATAAACTATTAGTATAATGGTTGGTAACGTTATAATTTTAGTAATCTGTCCCAAAAAGGATGACAAGTAAGAAAACTTCTGGAAAACATACATACAAATTTTATTTTATTAACCTTTAATGTTGTATTTTCAATTGATATCTTTATTTGTTTTTATTTTATTTTCATCTGTCTGAATGACTAATCCACGCGGTCCCATTATAGGCTATTTTTTTACTTCTGCGCTGACAAAGTCAAGCGACCGCTTGTATTAAGATAAAAGAATTTTAACTCTTTGGCCTTTTGTAGCAGCCTTCAAGAGGTATACCGTGCATTATTTAATCGTCTCGAAACTTTCTTAAAAAATCTTGGGTAAGTTTCTGTAAAAAAATGACCTTTTACTTAATAAAAAAACTGTTACTTATCATGTAATATTCACTTTTACAGATTAGAAGACACAAATGTAAACAAACGAGCATTAAATAACGAAATAAATGACAGGGATATTGTTATTCAAACTTGTGATAAAACGAAATCTTGTGGAGAATCTCGATACCGATCGATAGATGGCACTTGCAACAATCTACAGAACCCGTCCTGGGGTGCTGCTAAAGAACCCTTCGTTGTGCTGGTAGCAGATGCTCGTCCAGATAGTAAGTATAATAATAACTGAAAATAATTTTACAGTAACACATACAAAAAATTCGCGGAAATAACAATGAAGGATACAATGCTGTTATAATTTTAGACTGCAGATTTAAAACGGTCGAGGAAACCTAATCGTAACCAGGAGCTTTTAAATAAACCAAGATATGCTAAATTCGAAACTGCTTGCTTTAAGCAACTAATTAAATTATATTATAGTTTTCGTATATTTCAGGTATAAACATATCTGCACAAGGAAATTTGTTACCGAACCCTAGAGAAATATCGCTTAAAATATTTCCTTCATTATCTTTTCTGGACTACAAATGGACGCTCAACACAATGCAGTGGGGACAAATTGTAGCTCATGATATTTCTCTGACAGGCAGTACATCACTTATTAGTACGTTTATACCTCCTACTTTATTCCAGAATATATGGAATATAGTCATTAACAACATTTTAAAATTTCATTCCTTGTAGATACTCCCAGCCCAACATGCTGTAACAATGAAGGGGAGTTTACATCGGAAGCTGATAGTAATAAATTTTGCGCTGCCATACCAATACCGAGAGGCGTGGATACAAGACAATGTTTTGATTTTGTTAGAACTGTAACTACAAACGATACAGGATGTACAGCGCCGACCGCTCCTTCTTACCCGGTAAAACAGTCGATTGTGTTGACTTACTTCTTATTAATATTATAAATGCGAACGTACCTCCGGAAAGTCGTTTGGCGTAGATGTAGAATATAGTCTGGAAGAACGCATAGGATACTTATTTTTTTTTTAATTCCGCGCGGTCGGAGTCGCGAGCGACAGCTATTATAAAGAAATTAGCCAAAGGAAAATCAATAGAATACTTTGGAATATCGCACCATAACAATAGTATAACTGACTTTCATTAGCATTCTCTTTCTTTTTACTTCACTATGAATTTATATATAATATATCATGAGTCATATGCTATACAAACAATCATAAGCATTGAGGTACTTTTTTATCAAATTCAACGACCATGTTATGATGACCATATGACATACAAATATTACCGATCATGTTAATTATCTGTTTTAGATAAATGAAAACACCTGTTACATGGACCTATCATTGATATACGGCGTTAATGACAACCAATCGAAATCGTTGCGTGAAGGCAAAGGAGGTCGAATGTTAACTGTTGAGCGCAACGGAGGCGAATGGCCTCCTCAGGCTGCAAATGCTCAAGAAACATGCACACCCACCATACCTGCTAACGATACTTGCTATGTAGCTGGTAAGAAAACTGGTATCCATAGGCGTCGGGTCTATTAACATTAGGCGATCATTTAATTTGTTCTTTTCTCCTTTTAAAAGAGGGACATAAATCAAAATATCTGCACATTTTTATGCTCAGCGTGGTATAAGGCTAAATATGATAGGAAGAAGAAATAATGTCAAGCCTTTGAAAACCTCATTGTTTCTCATTCAACAGCAAGATCATATGTCACTTTTATCATTGTTTAAAAGTTTTAAGCATGTCTTGCCTAATGTAAACATCAGTCCAAATCGATACGATAACACAACATCTGTGTAGCTATTACATTCTTGCATTTTACTATAATTGTCATTTATCCAGGTGATTCTAGAATTAACCAAAATCCAGAATTAGCGGTACTTCAAATCATTTTGTTGAAGGAACACAATCGCATAGCTGGTATACTATCAAAGTTGAATGGACAATGGAACGACGATAAAATTTATCAGGAAACACGACGCATTGTCATAGCTATGTCTCAACATATTACCTATTACGAATATCTTCCAATATTACTTGGTTAGTATTCTTAAAATAATTCATTGGAAATGCTTGGGGGCTGTGGCTGTGAATGGACTGGTGAATGGATGATGTTTTAAGGTATCCTCAGAACAGTCCAATGGATCTTGATGAAATTTTGCATAGATGTAGAACTTACGCTACTTATTGAGTTTCTTTTGGATCCCGCGTGGACGGAGTTCGCTAGACTAGCTACAGCTAGTTATAAGATAAATATTAACTATGTTTTAACAGGTCGAGATAATATGCTAAAAAATAAAATAATTTACGAAGATCCAAAAGATTACATAAATGATTACAAAGCAGATATAAGTGCTGGCGTAACAAATGAATTCTCTACTGCAGCGTACAGATACTTTCATACGCTAATACGAGGGAAACTGGAGTAAGTAACATATTGACATCGTAATAACTGAAACTTAAGAATTTATTACAAAAAATTATCATGAAGCAAATGACGTCAACATTATTAATAGTCATAGTAACCATAACTATAATTAATTAAAAATATCATTATATTATATAATATAATCGAGTAAGATCGTTTATAAATATTATTAGTTCTTTTTAGAAAGTTTCTTAGCAGAAAGACCAGATTTTCAGTCTTAATAATGTTCCTACTTAGAAGAGTACACAGAAGTAATAGAACTTGACTAATTCCAATGTTTAAAATTGTTTTCTTTTGTAGAATTGTGAAAGAAAACCGCATATTGCAGCGTACTATAAGATTAAGCGATTGGTATAATCGACCTTCTGTAATCGAAGAACCTGATGCTTTTGATGGCCTAGCGAGAGGCTTGTCGTATCAATCTGAAGATAGAGCTGACCAATATTTTGACGCAGAAACCAGTCAATATCTTTTAAGGTAAAGTGATAAAAATTAAATCACTCTGTATTTTTTTATGTTGATGTTTAACTGAATTCTATTCTCAAGTTCGTGGAGTAATTATCTATTTTTTTACGCTGATATAAACTCTAAGGGAAAGCATGATTTAAATTTTATCGTCGATCAATTTAAGATGTAAAAAGAACTTGGCTTGTTTCGTGATTATTTATCAATTATTATGCAGAGGAAACAATACCAAAGGTAGTGATCTGCGAGCTATTGATATTCAACGCGGACGTGATCACCGTCTCGCTAGCTACGTCGCTCTCCGACGCTTCTGCGGACTTTCCGAGCCGAAGACGTTTGATGACTTGAGTGTAGATATTTCAAGAACTGTAAGTACGGAAAAAAATATTAACTACTTACTCCGCTGGCGCAGCGACCCAAAGTGAGTCGTGGCCTCCAGTACAAGAGATCGCCAAGGTCGCCTATCCTGCGTTATCTCCTGATTGACCGTCGACGTATCGGGCGGCTCAGATACCGCTGCCGAGACGCCGTAGAACTGGCCCTGCAGGAACTTCAAGCGATGGACTGGCAGGAAAAAAATAGATTAATAGGATATTTTATTTTTAAATAGATACGATACATGAAGGTTTAACATAAAAATATTTTTCTAGAATATAGCAATGCTGAAATCATTATACAAATCAGTAGACGACATAGACCTTACCGTGGGTGGGTCATTAGAGAAGCATGTCCCCGACGCACTGATGGGACCAACTTATCTTTGCATTTCGCTGATACAGTTCTACAAAATTCGTGTCGGAGATAGATTCTTTTATGAAAATGGCAGCAATATGAATATCGCTTTTACACCGAGTAAGTTTTACTAAAAAAAATAACTTTGTACTCGATAACTTCTATGCTATAATATATATACAGCTAGAAGTCATAAAAAACATGAACATTGAAACTTTAACAGGTCAACTAGCTACGATTCGCAAAGGAACTTCTTTGGCTCGTCTGATCTGTGATAATGGAATAAATATAAAGAGTATGCAGCCCAGAGCATTCGAACTGGTGTCTCCCAAGTAAAGTACAATTTTATTTATTTACGTGGAGTAAAATCTTTCAAAGACACTCCTTAAACAGTTTTTGTAAGATTCTACCACTAGAACATACTAAATTTAACTTACGACTTGCTTTTTTTTTACAATTTTACTTATAACTTAGTTAACAAGTTTTTCAACTTGAAAAATTCTTATTCTTGTTTTATTTTTCAGGAATAAAATAGTTCCATGTGATAGCTTACCATCAGTGGATTTGAGTCTTTGGAAAGAATAAAAACAAAAGAAGACCGTCGAAAATAAATAAAACACGAATGTTTTTTTTTAATAATAATTATAAAATTAATTAATCAATATTCTCTTGAGCAGTATCTATGGTACAATGATTAAATAAAATTCGTTTTTTAGAGAGAGCGAAAGGCCTACTTTCTTCTTAGATGGTATTTCGCCTAATCTACATTAGCGACCTATTATCTGTTTATGAATAGTCAAAAGCGCATATCAATTAGCGCTAATAAATAGTAAAAAACATGACAACATAATTAGTTTTAATTAAAGTAATTAACAAAACTGATAGCTGTCCTAAATTAATATAAAAGTGACTTAAACATGTTATAAGATCTGGAACTGATTAATTACCTCGTTAACCGTTCCTATATGTTTTTTTAATGATTTTATTAATCTGTTTTTAGGGAGCCAATGTGCCCTTTCTAGTGAATCTTACAAAATAGAGTGTAACAAATGTAAGAATTAACATGTTATGTATGATACATATATAATTTTTATTTTATTTTATATCACACTTTAACAACAGAGGGAGCTTATTACAATTTGGAGATATCTTACTTATATTATTAAAGTGAATGTTGAAATGGATGGATGGAACGATGTTTATTTGAAGATATCTCCAGAACGGCTGCAAGGATCTCCCTGAAATTTGGCATAGACGTAGAACATAGCCTGAAAGAACACACGGGCTACTAGTTTTTTCTTATTTTCCCTCGGACAGACGTTTATGCAGTGACACTAGTCGGCATGTAATACTATACAACTGAAATAGAGCCAGTACTGAGATACAATCAGCGAAAGTGTAGCTTACAATGTCCAAACTTTATAAACTTAAATATATTTGATGTGGTGAGAGTTCGATGGCTAATTTGGTTTACGAGGTACTTTTATATGACGTCACGATTATTTCAAAAGATTGCCTCACCAGCGAAGTTATGTATTTCATAACATTACTAAAGCGGGGAATTTTTATAATTAAAATTTTGCAAGGTTAATTGAAAACCGGTACACTATCCACCGTAGCAGATACCGAATGATTTTTTTTTTAATTTTTTCAAGCGCCCATAACCTAATATTGAAGTATACAGATTTCCCATCAAATGGTCGAGAGTTCGAATGCCATTATTCGAAAATAGTAAATCTTTTAAGTACCATAATGTTTTTCTTTTTATTAATTTTCTCATGATTATTATATTACATTTAAATCACCAGTAGGGAAATAAATTTGTACCTTTAATTGTATGTGTACCGAAGTTGACGGAATGGTGCGCCACTTGAGTTTGTCTTATTATGTTTAGTGTTTATCTTACTTAAGCTAAGCAACTTCCCTCTCGACTTACCCTCTCGGTACATTTTCATCAGCTAATGTAATCCAGTTAGACTTAAAAGTTTTAACTGGCATTTTACTTTCTATAATAGAAACTTTGTATCTATGCAACGTTTTAACATTTACTTTACGTTTGAATTATTTTACCCTATTATAAAATTCAAAATTATTTGTCAACTCATTCCTAATTCAAAAAGTCAAAAGGTACTATATTTTTAAAGTAATTTAAAGTTTATAGGTATTAAGATTTGTTATAGAAACTTGTTGTCCCCGTTTTATTCATAGAGAAGAATGAGAGGAATGATTCTGTACAGGTATTTTGCGTAGAGGGAACCCATTGTTATATATTTATATTCTCTATTTATTCGGTTACCTTTACACTTCCTATCTCATATGCAAATTAAGGGCTCTAGTATATGAGAACAGTTGGATTTTTTCAAATCTACTTCTGAATTTTTCCACTTTGTTACGTGAAATTACATAAGCGCTCACGTTGAAATACCAACCGCATTTCAAGATGTATATTTACATTTAAATAGGGTTTTCAAGCTGGCGTAAGGAAATGGTAACGATTGTGAGATATTTTTTCAATGAATGCTAACTAAACGATATGAAAACTATTTAAATTGACATACTTACTATAATGTTAGTTTAAAAATTAAAGCCTTTAATAGTTTAGTAGTTTATGGTTTAAAAAATATTTAAAGTTACTAAAATTGCAAATACATAAAGAACATAAAGAACAAAAAAAATACTTTTTTAACTCTACTTTTCTCCGTACTTATTAAAAATAGTAATATTGAAAATGCACGGGCTATTGTTAGATTCCTTACAGAAATACTATGGAAAGGGTTACAGACATATTATATTTTATGCTTTATTCTTAGGATAAAATAAAAATCAACAACACTGGCTTTTGGTGATAATTTTACTTAATTGTAATTTTTATAGTATTATAATTTAGCGCGTTATATACCTGGTTCCCCGAGATATCAAATAAGCACGTAAAATACACTTACTGAAACTTTATTCAGTTTTAAAACACTTTGTTTAACACAGCGACCAAAATTTTAACATCGCAGTCGATTAAAGAGTAACCCTTCTTTTTGAAGATTTTTTATCTATAATTTTATATAGATTTTCCTGGATATATTTATCTGGGAATATTACCAATTTTTATGACACTTTTGGGTAAATATTGTCTCATATCTAAGGCTCCATGTAGTCTCGAGTTGCAGAACTTGGTTCTCAAAATAACACAATAAAGTAGCAGCTTACCTCTGCTAACTAATTAGGTAATAAGAAATCATATCTGAAGTTTGACCAACATATTTTATGAATGATTTATTGCTATGACAACGTTGAATTTGTAGTTAGGTAGATATAATACCAACCCAATATAAACAATACTTCTGTATATTTAAATGAAGCTTTGTAGTGTTAGTTCCTCTTGAATTTTAGTATTGAATTGCATCATCGTCATCCATAAATATGTTAATTTATGAGACGTCTAATGGTTTTGTTTATACGCGAATATCTCTGATTATATTAACCCGGCAGTTGGGCAATGCCCATATGATGAATTAATGCAACTACTAATGAGACACTGAAATAATAATATTAGCTTAATATAGTTACATATTTTTTATATCCACACAGCAGGGATATAGGCTTCTCTTGAACAATTCGTAATCCGTTCTTGTCGTATGCGTAATGTATAAAACAGAGCCTTGTAATCAATTTCAATCAATCACTTCGATTGTTCCAGTTATTAGCTAAACCTCTTTACACAATGAGTTTTCAAATGAGATTTTAATGACTTTCTTACACCGACTGACACGGGAGGGGAAATTTTTTCGCCTTTATAGTGGACGTTGGAGTTCAAATTACCAATTAGTCAAACCGACTTTGAAATTAACTCCTTATATCCTTTTTGTATTAGTAAGGTTTTTGTTTTTTTTTAAATAATCTCTTTTTTCTAGTTATTTTCTTGAACACGGAGGTTTTATTAATCTCATAGTACAGACATGAACCAGCTGTTTTCTTTAATATATTGATCGTTGACTTACAAGTAGTTGCTACACTTGAATTCTTTGTTGAATTTCTCCGGTATGACGAAAGTGATCTATGTCCAGATTATTTCTATCTCTTCTCTCCTTAGTGGTTTATTGGAAATAGTTCCAAAAAACGTTAAGAAAGTGATCTTTATTTTTATTTGAATTTTATTAGAAGTAAATAAATTACAAAATGTTTCATAACTAGACATCAATATGAAAGTAAAGTCCTCGAGACAATTTGTTTTAATTTTAAGATACTACTAATTATTGTTTAAATCCCGCGCGAACGAACTCGCGGACGAGCACTAGTTTACGATAAAAAAAACAATTGAGATCGAACGTCTCAAGTCCGCATAAAAGCGATTCAAATGTTAAAAATATTTCTGATGATCTTTAAACACTAGATAACAAGATTAATAACATTGTTGCTCGAGGATTACAAAGTTATTAATATAATTTATAGCAGGCTTGTCTATATCTCATCCTTTAGCACAAACAATAAGTATTTTTGCGACTGTATAATCTATTTATTTATACATTTATTATTTATTTAATTTCATAATATAGTGTATCCTTAAGCTCAATTTAAGTAAATAATGATATATTTTAAGATAATTCTTTCATAATCGATATTTTAGTGGAACGGTGAATTTGTTTTGTTTATTTCTAATATTATAAACTTGTGGGCGAGAATGATTGGATGAGGATGAATTAAAATGTCATTAGGAAATCAAAAACGATACTGGATTTGTTCCAAAGCTCGTTATTTATTTTCCATACTTACCCGAAGTCAAACAGTTTATAGTCAAACAAAAGTTAAGCATCAAGATCGTAAGATAAAATGGCTCCAAGCCAATTCGAAATATAACGTTTCTTGTGCCAAATTTATATATGGGGACATTTATTTTTCGCAATAAAACCTTATATAATATATAAAGTTGACTTTCAAAATGCACTGGCACAAAACCTAGTCGTTAATACATCGATTACTGACACAAAAAAAAGAATTTGTAGTTTTTTCTTTATTTTTTTTTTAAGTATTCGTCGGGTATTCAATTCTAGGTCGTTTGAATTATAACCTGGATGAAATTGTATAGTGTTAAATTCTTTAATAACAAAGCAGATAAATCAAATTGGAATCCATTAATATCCCATTATGTCTTAACATTTCATTATTGTATCTCAAGAACAATTAAATCCGAACAATTATAAAGATTCCTTTATAAATTTTGGATTTATTCATTTATTAAGGCTTGCGGCGTCGCGTGTTACTGAATATTATTTGTAACCAGCACGTAAAATTTGCTTGTGTAATCCATGTATATAAAAATCAATTGCTGTTCGTTAGTCTTACTAAAACTCGAGAGCGGTTGAACGGATTTATCTTGGTCTTGAAATTTTCTCGGAGGTCTAGGGAAGGTTTAAAAGGTGAGAAAAATTCTTATAGTTGCCAGGAAACGCTTTAGGAACCTTTTTTTAATCCCGCGCCGTCGGAGTCGCGGGCGACAGCTAGTATTAAATAAAACATTTAGTTTATTAAGATAATAAAGTATAAATGCGGCGCCGTGTAATTTGCAACGGAAAAATACCTTTTAATTACCAATTTAGAAGCAACTGGTGCCTAATGGTTTCATTTGTTTCTGTCAGAGGTTTTCTTTGCTATTTTTATTTAAGATCACAATTTATTTTTATTCATCACTTTATTTTGGATTTACTTGCATCCTAATTGATAATATTTTTT